AGAAGCCATGAGCTGGGAATTCCATCCAGGTCCCCCACGAGGGTGGCAGGGATCCACACACATAGCAGGAAGGTGAAATGGGAATCCAAGCTGGGAATGGAACCTAGGTATCCTCCATGGGCTGCAGCCGTGTAAACCGCTAGGCCAAACACCTGCTCCAGAGGCCTGCTTTTATTCTTACTTATTTACTTCAATTTTTATTCATCTAAGAGAGAGAAAGAGAGAATCTTCCATCCACAGGTTCAATCCCCAAATGCCTGCACTAGTCAGGGCTGGGCGGAAGCCAGGAGCCAGGGACTCCATCTGGGTCTCCCTTGTGGGTGGCTGGAACTCAGTACTTGAGCCACCGCTCTTACCCTCCCAGGGGCATGAGCACAAATCTGAATCATCTCAGCAGAGGCGGGACTCAACCCCAGTCACTCTTTGGCGGGATGTGGGCATCATAGGTGGAAGCTAACCTGATGCCCTACAAAGCCCATCCCGGAGGCAAGCTTTGAAGGCAGGTCCCCCGACAGATCAAACGTGCACTGTGAGAGAAGAGTGAGCCTGAGCTTTGGCCTGAGAACTGGGAGGGTGTCGGGACCGCCATCCTCTGATGCGGGGGTGGAGCCATCGGGAGAGATGACCAGCGGTTCAGTTCTGCACATGCTCAGTTGGAAACATCCAGCAGAGTGGACTTTATTATAGCCAAATTTACAGACCTAAATAGAAAAAAAATTACACAACACTATATATGCATGCAAAGTCATTAAAGAGAATGAGGAGAGAAACCAGCTGCCAGTCTAAGTTTCCAGATCATCAGCAGAGTTCAATTCCTCCTGTTTTAACACGAAAATAAAAAACTGGCTCTATATAAGTGCATTTTTTAAATGTACTTTTAAAAGGATGAATATTATACATGGCCTGCTTTAATTTAGAGGTAAATAAATAGGTCTGAGTACTCTATATAAATTACTCACAGAAATAATGTGGCTTTTCAAGTTTATTTAACTCTTCATTTTCAAAATATGCTTTGATTAGCACATAATATTTGCACATCTTTTCGGGGCATGGGGCAATATTTCAACACAGGCCTACAGTGCTCAAGACATCATGTGATAATATGTAAGCTTTACCAACATGGTCATGGACTATGCAGAATGTGGACCAAAGCTCTTAAAGGAAACAGAATAATCATGTTTAACTGCTACAGAAGCTATTTTGAATGCTGTCTCACAGGGCAGGAAACAGGCCAGTATTAAAAGTGGTGAACAAGAAGAAAGACTTATGCTGGAAGTTGCTCAGTGATGTGTTTGTTCGAGGGGTCTGATGGGCTGCAAGTGAATAAGCCATTGTTGTGCCAAGGCCTCAGGGAATTTTCCGAGGCTCTGACATAACAAGCTGTAACAACTGAACAAATCTACTTCAAAATCGACACACTCCAATTTAAATCCAAATGCAAGTTTATCTAATGGCTCACGTAAAACTTAGCTCTTCTATCTTTTTAAAAACTATATATAATTCTTCAAAGATATTTACTTATTGGTCATTCATAAATAGAACCATGAACTCTATATGGCTCCAGAGAATATACCATGCAGTCACCACTAATCTAGATACTCAATACTGTCTCCCCTTTTAAAATGACCAAAATAAACCGTAGGGGTGAGCTCGTTAGCACTCCACATAAGAAAATCAAAAAAATCCACCCAGAGGTTTAATTATGCGCTCTTTTTAGGGTCCTTTCTAACACTCAGCGCTACTGCCATTCCAGTTTGGAGAAACTGAGTTACGGGGAGCATCCTCCGCACTGCAGGGCGTGGCGCGCCCACACCACCCTGTACCCTCCAGCCGCCGCAGGAACGCCCACAGCAACTCCCAGGAAAAGCGTCTCCAGATACTACTATATAACGTTGCAGGGAGGGTCTGGGGAGGGGGACCCCAAACTGCCTCCAGCTGAGAACTGCTGTGCTGGCCCAGGAGCCCTCCACCACGCAGGGAGTGCCCACAACACGCCCTTCCCTCTCTGCCTCGGCCACTCCAAGGTTCCGAAGACTTTGTACTTGAAAGTAGTTTCTCTGGGCTGTGCAAGGAGGTGTTTGGTGCAACACCTAAGTCACTGCTTGGGACACCTGCATCCTACACCACAGTGCCTGGGTTCAAGTCCCAGTCTCTCCACTTCCAATCCAGCTTTCTGCTCATGGGTACCCCGGGAGGCACTCAAGTGCTTGGGTCCCTGCAGTCCATGTGGAAGACCCAGATGGAGTTCGAGACACCTGGCTTTAACCCGGCCCAGCCTAGCCTGATGCAGGTCTCTGGGGGAGCCAACCAGAAGAAGAAGGATCTTGTTCTGCCCTTGACTTTCAAATAAAAATGAAAATTAATTTTAAAATGTTGGCTACTTTTTTAAAAAAACCACTGTCAGTAAACAGTGTCGAATCTATTCAAAAACTTACCTTACAATACCAAGATGTAGCTTCACTCCTGAGACACCATCTCAAATATTAAAGATTAGCATAGATGCCAGTGCTGTGGTGTGGTGTACAAAGTCACTGCCTGTGACGCCAGCATCCCACATGAGCACAGCTGCCCCACTTCTGATCCAACTCCCTGCTAATGGAAAGCAGCAGAAGACGGCCCAAGTGCTTGGGCCCCTGCACACACATGGAAGACCAGGATGAACCTCCTGGCTTCTGGCTTCAGCCTGATACAACCCTGGCAGTGGCAGCTATTTGGGAAGTGAACCAGTGAATGGAAGACCTCTCTCTCTCTCTCTCTTTTTCTCTATCTTTCACTCTGCCAAATAAATAAAATAAATTAATAAAAGAGGCGATGGGTTAGTGTTACTGAAGGTGGATAAACACAGCAGGACAGACTGCAGAGAATGAGACACAGTGAGGAAGGGACATCCTCCCGGCACGGTGACTGCCTGGAGAGCAGGGCCCTCCGGGCGGGGAGGAGTCCCGGGATGCACACCTTTACAGAGGACTTGCAGACCTGGAGGTTGTGCTGCACAGACGGCCGGCAAAGGCCTGACCGACCAGCCCCTCATCCTGGGCTTCCCAGCCTCCAGGACCGCGAGACAGACACTTCCGGTCCTCAGCAGCTCCTCCTCTGCTGGCGTTTTGTTACAGAAGCTCAAATGCACTAAGACACAGGGGAATATCAACGCCAGCATAAGGCAGAGGTTAAAACTGCAGCCACAAGGCCGGCGCCGCGGCTCACTAGGCTAATCCTCCGCCTAGCAGCGCCGGCACACCGGGTTCTAGTCCCGGTCGGGGCGCCGGATTCTGTCCCGGTTGCCCCTCTTCCAGGCCAGCTCTCTGCTGTGGCCCGGGAGTGCAGTGGAGGATGGCCCAAGTGCTTGGGCCCTGCACCCCATGGGAGACCAGGAAAAGCACCTGGCTCCTGGCTCCTGCCATCGGATCAGCGCGGTGCGCCGGTCGCATCGCGCTGGCCGCGGCGGCCATTGGAGGGTGAACCAACGGCAAAGGAAGACCTTTCTCTCTGTCTCTCTCTCTCTGTCCACTCTGCCTGTCAAAAAAAAAAAAAAAAAAAAAAAAAACTGCAGCCACAGGCAGGGGTAGGGCAAACAATGAACGGGACCACGTGAAAAAAGAGGCATGAAGTTCTCATGACTTTATTCAATATCTGAAAATATTCCTTTTAGCTTTAGAAAAATATATACAGTGAACTCATTTTTAAAAGAGGAAAGAAATATGTATTTAAATGCCAGTACATAGACTTGAATAGCAGAAGTAAGGTCAAACGTCTCTGCAGGGAATGGGGCGATGTCAGAGCACAGTGGCTCAGGAAAGACACAGCTGAGACTTACCCCAGTACCCTGAACACAAAACACCACGAACTCACACCACCTAGCTTCCCTCGGAAAGGCTTTTGATCCAGGCAATTATATAAGTATAATTATATATTTTTTTCTTTAAGGTAGCCTGGACAAGGCTACCGTAGCCACTGGGAGATGGCTATTCTGAAAGTCAGAATACTGGGGGAGGGGGGGTTAAGGAGGAGGAGAAAGAGAGAGGGAGAGAGAGTCTTCCATCTGCTGATTCACTCCCCAAATGGACACATCAGCCAGGGCTGGCCCAGACTGAAGTCAGAAGCCAGGAGCTTTATCTGGGTGTCCACATAGGTGCAAGGGCTCAAGGCCATGAGCCATCCTCCACTGCTTTCCCGGGTTCATTAGCAGGGAGCTGGATGGGAAGCGGAGGAGCTGGGACTTGAACCAGCACCCACAAGGGATGCCGGCACAGCAGACAATGGCTTAGCCTGCTGCGCCCCAGCGCCAGCCCCTGGAGTCTTAGCTCACTGACCTCGGTTAACTCAGGTCGCATGAACAAAATGGAATTTTATGTTTTGCACATAAAATGGCTTAACCCACGGTCAAAATACCTTCAACATTTCTGTTTACACACAGAGCAACAGGAAGAGGCCCAGTGAAAACCAGCGAGAGCTCAGGCAGGGCTGCTCATCTGAACCACCCTCATCTGGGTTTGCTTGAGCGCCACAGGCTGAACCCCACACAGCCAGCCAGGTAGCGGGAACAGAAAAACCAGCCTCCCGCACATGGGACACTCAGCCTTCACCTTGCGTCACACAGGGGCTCATTCAGAAATCCTTACAACACAGAGTGACGCCAGCTCCTTTATCATCCGTGCCTATGACACGTTTTTCTTTGCAAGGAAAGAGACCAAACTAGACACATCATAAAACAGAAAATGATTTTCCAAAGCACAGTAACTCTGAAAGTGCCCAGCGCTGCGTCCCAGCTGAACAGTTGGCATCCAGCGTGACCGGAGAGGCCACAGGTTCCACCACAGTGCAGCTCGGCGGCTGTGCGACGCCTTCGAGGGCCTCGCTCTTTCATTCCACGCTTCGGCCAGGGGGAAGAACCCTAACACAGAACTGCAGGAACGCGTGGGGAGCAGCGCCCCAAGAGGCTCACGGGTGGACGCGGCGCCTGACGCCTCCCTTGCCCCGGCCACCCAGCGCGGCGGGCCTACCTTGCGGCTTTGGACTCGCAGCTGCGCGCTTCGCCGGCGTCTTCCCATTTATCCCCTGAGCTGCGTCATGACGCACGCGCAGATCAACCAGACTGGCGGTGCTGCTCGTCAAACCAGGGGGAAGCAAGGCGATCTTTGGACAGGTACTGTTGCCTGTGGGAGCACAAAGAGAGGGGGCCGGTCAGTGCGCGCGTGGGCATGGCACGAGGCTCCTCCGCCCCGCAAGGCAGAAGCGGGCTCTGTCCCCGCGCTCTCCCCGTGCGCGCTGGCCTGGACGCAGGGCTTTCCCGGGGAAGCTGTCGCTGCACACGCTGCAGGAGCCTCACGGGGGAGTGCGCACAGGCCACAGCTGCTGGGTGGAGGCAGAGAGCACGGAGCGCCCCACGCTAATCCGTTAAAAGCGTTCCTCTGCGGTGCCCGGTCAGCCCGGAGTCATCGCCTGTGAGGAACGAAGCAGCAGAGCAGGGACGTGACAGCTGACTGGCAGGCTCGCCGAGAGACGGCCACGCGTGCACGCACGCCCGCACCCCCACCACGATGAGTCCTCGCACAGGCTCCTCGTGACGGCCACGGCGAGCGAAGAGCGACCGTGTTTCCATGCGAAGAGTGACCGTGTTTCCATGGGAAGCCTGGTGAGATGATGCGGATGATACCGCCACATGCACGTAGCCCCAGCTCTGAGATCTACCGTGCTGCTGGACAAAGGGGACGAGACCACCCCACGGTTCTGTTCTGACACGAGTCCTACCTCGCTGCTTTCTCTCTGCACACCTACTACGTGTCCCTCTTTTCTGGCTGATGTGACAGTAGCAACACACTCAGCTTTCCTTAAGGGACCAGACCTGTACTGCGGCACACTGGGTTACGCTGTGGCTTGCAACCCTGGCAACTTGCATCCGAGTGCTGGGTTTAAGTCCAGGCTGCCCCACCTTCCATCCAGCTCCCTGCTAACGCGCCTCGGAAGGCAGCAGATGAAGGCCCAAGTGCTTGAGCCCCTGCACCCATGTGGGAGACCCAGATGGATGTCCCAGCTCCACACAGCCTGGACAAGGCTACCGTAGCCACTGGGAGATGAACCAGTGGATGAAGAAATCTCTCCTCTCAATCTGCTCTTTCAAATAAATATTTCTTTAAAAAGAGAAAAAATAGGTGGCAGGATATGGCACAGCAGGTTACGCGGCTACCTGCAAGGCTGGCATTCCAAACGGGTACCATTTGAGTTCTGGCTGCTCCACTCCCCATCCAGCTCCCTGCTAACACGCCCGGGAAAGCAGTAGAAGATGGCCCAAGTGCTTGGGCTTCTGCACTAAGAGGGACACCTAGGCTCCTGGCCTCAGCCTGGCCCAGCCCCAGTTGTTGTGGACATTAGGGGCGTGAACCAGCAAAAGGAAGATCCTTCTCTATGTTTCCCTCTGTCTCTGTAACTTCACCTCTCAAATAAATAATCTGTAACAAAATGAGAAAAAACAAAACAAAACAAAACAAAACTCCTACCAGGAAGTCTCAATAATTGAATCAAAGTTTGCCATTTAAGAAACACAGCATTTCATCTTTTGTAGAGCTCAATTATCTAAAAATAGAGCTAGTCAAGATTTTATAAAGATTTACTATGTGAGTCAAAAAAATCCCTCTTGGGGCTGGCCCTGTGGCGCAGCGGATAAAGCCACCGCCTGCAGTGCCAGCATCCCATATGTGCACCAGTTCTAGTCTCAGCTGCTCGACTTCAATCCAGCTCTCTGCTATGGCCTGGAAAAGTGGTACAAGATGGCCCACGTGCTTAGGCCTCTGCACCTGTGTGGGAGACCGATGCAGCTCTCTGCTATGGCCTGGGAAAACAGTGGAAGATGGCCTACATCCTTGGGCACCTGTGCCCACATGGGAGACCTGGAAGAAGCTCCTGGATCCTGGCTTTGGATTGGCCAAGCTCCAGCTGTTGCAGCCATTTGGGGAGTGAACCAGAGGATGGACGATCTCTCTCTCTCTCTCTGCCTCTGCCTCTGCCTCTGCCTCTCTGTAACTGTGCCTTCCAAATAAATAAAGAAATCTTTAGAAAATAATTCCCTCTCAATCCAAATGATTAATAAATACTGATGAAAACAACACTTCTGTTTTAGTTTTTCTGGGCTCCCCTAAACATTGACCTTGGAACAGCAGATTTTCGAAGATATTAGTACTTGCGGATACTATCTGGGACATCAGAAAGCCAGTGCTAAAATGGAAAGGGAACGGGATTCTCATTATTAGTCTCCTGCTAACACGGCTTATGTGTCAGCTGGATTAAGTGTTGTCAGGAACGTAGACTGGAAGACTGTCTGGCAGAGTGTTATCACAATGCAAACAGGAGAGAGAAAGGCCAGCATCTTGGAGCGTGTGAACTTGCACACCACCTTAGAAAACCTGTGAAGGAGGCAAAGCCCACCCCTCACATTGACACCAACACTGTCCCAGGCGACCACCTAGCCTCTAGGGGCACCTGGTCATTCTTCCTGCAGGGACTCCTAAAACGGCTTAGGCCACCTGCTGGGGTCCAGGGCAGGACGGAATTCAGGCAGAAACCATGAAGCACTTCAGCTCAACTGTAGGCCAGAGGAAGATGCCACAGCATGACTGACAGCAAGGATACACCATGACCTTCAGCTCACAAGAACAAGCAGCAGAGCCGGCGCTGTGGAGTAGGTTAGTCCTCCACCTCTGGCGCCGGCATCCCATATCGGGGCCAGTTTGTCTCCTGGCTGCTCCTATTCTGATCCAGCTCTCTCTCTGCTATGGCCTGGGAAAGCAGCAGAGGATGGCCTAAGTCCTTGGGCCCCCGCACCCACATGGGAGACCTGGAGGAAGCTCCTGGCTCCTGGCTTCGGATTGGCCCAGCTCTGGCCATTACGGCCATCTGAGGAGTGAACCAGCAGATGGAAGATTTCTCTCTCTCTCTCTCCCTCTCTCTGTAACTCTGCCTCTCAAATAAATAAGTAAATCTTTAAAAACCAACCAACCAACAAGCAGCAATCCAACTCCACACAGGAACATGTAAGAGTTTAAATGAGAAAACAAATCAAGCTGAACCTTCAGAAAATAGATTGCTATTATTACATATAAAAATATATTAAAGGGGCACCGGATTCTGTCCCGGTTGCCCCTCTTCCAGGCCAGCTCTCTGCTGTGGCCAGGGAAGGCAGTGGAGGATGGCCCAAGTCCTTGGGCCCTGCACCCCATGGGAGACCAGGAGAAGCACCTGGCTCCTGCCATCGGATCAGCGTGGTGCGCTGGCCGCAGCGGCCATTGAAGGGTGAACCAACGGCAAAAAGGAAGACCTTTCTCTCTGTCTCTCTCTCACTGTCCACTCTGCCTATCAAAAAAAAAAAATATATATATATATATATATATTAAAAACTGGGCTATTTAGAAATTGAACATACCTTACATAAATATTAATCTGAAACTGGAAACTATTTAGGCACTTAATTTCTGGTTAACAAACTTTCAGGGTATGGTGGGTTTTACAAGTGTTACATTTATAGAGAATGTCTCCCATTATATGCTAAAATTCCTGTGAGAAGAAACCAACTATGGAGGTGGTACTGTGGTACAGTAAGTTAAGCCCTGCAATACTGGCATCCCAAGCACTGGTTCAAGTCCTGCCTCCTCCACTTCCAACCCAACTCCCAGCTAATGCACCTGGGAGGGCAGCAAAGGATGGCCCAAGTAAGTGCTTGGGCCCCTGCCACCTATGGGAGACCCAGTTATAGTTCCTGGCTCCTGGCTTCATCCTGGTCCAAACCTGGCCATTGCAGCCATCTGGAGAGTGAAGAACACACTAAAGATTTCTGTCTATAACTGTCTATCTTTCAAATACATAACTATGAGAACAACAAAAGGAAATGAATCATGCATCCACTTCCTTGTCATCTCATCAAAGTCACACTTACAGATCTTATGCTGGTGGCAATAAATCCACAAAGACTTTATTTCCAGATGAGTGTTTGAAATAAGTCTACAAACCTCAGCCACTACCATGAAGCAGGAAAACATGGTGAGGAATACACATAATATTTACGTTTATAAAGAGTTGTTTTTAAAAAAAAAAAAAAAAAAAAGCAATGAACAACATAAACAGAAACCACATGTGGCTTCAAGGCCAAAAATATTTACTTCTCTGGCCCATTACAGGAAAAGCACGCCGCCCACGAGTACAGGTCAAACCTATTAGGGTAAAGGAAGTCCGCCTCTAAGAATCACCATTTCGTTAGCACTTTATCTGCAGGCATCTCCTAGAGCAGCTGTCCAAAGAGGAGCTTTCAGCCGGCGCCGCGGCTCAATAGGCTAATCCTCCACCTTGCGGAGCCGGCACACCGGGTTCTAGTCCCGGTCGGGGCGCCGGATTCTGTCCCGGTTGCCCCTCTTCCAGGCCAGCTCTCTGCTGTGGCCAGGGAGTGCAGTGGAGGATGGCCCAAGTGCTTGGGCTCTGCACCCCATGGGAGACCAGGAGAAGCACCTGGCTCCTGCCATCGGATCAGCGCAGTGCGCCGGCCGCGGTGCACTGGCCACAGCGCGCTGGCCACGGCGGCCATTGGAGGGTGAACCAACGGCAAAAGGAAGACCTTTCTCTCTCGAGACGATCCTTACTGGGGTGTCAGCTGCGTAACAGGGAATTAAACTCAAAGCATAGCCAGATGGTTCACCTAGTCAAGACTGTCATATACACAGGGGCACTAAGATTCCAAAATTTGGAGGCATGATGTGTAATGAAACTGGTATTTTGAGCACAGATTTAACTAACCACATTTTGTTAGTATTTAAATAGTAGTTTCCCTCCTACACACCCCCAAAGATTTATTTCATTCATTTGAAAGGTAGAGATTCAGAGAGAGGGAGAGACAGAGGGAAAAAGAAATCTTCCATCCACTGGGTCACTCCCCAGATGGCAGCAATAGCTGGGGCTGAGCTGAAGCCAGGAGCCAGGAGCTTCCTCCAGATCTCCCACGTGGGTGCGGGGGCCCAAGGACTTGGGCCATCCTCTGCTGCTTTCCCAGGCACATTAGCAGGAAGCTGCACTGGAAGTGGAGCCACCAGGGCTCAAACCAGCACCCATATGGGATCTGGCACCCCAGGCAGTGTCATCACTGGCCACACCATGACACAGGCCCCTCTGTCTCACA